GGAAGGAAGGTTGGGCAATCCTACTTCCGTAGTGATACTGCCTCGGAAACCCAAGGAGGGGTCGCTATGAGTCAGGTTTGACTCGACAGCACATAACAACAACAACAACAGAGACACATGTTCTCCATGCACATAAGGAGCCAGGTATGAAGATGTTTCTGCAGCACTGTTTCGAATAACAAGCATTTTAAATCACCTAGGGAGGAGTTGAGAAGGGAAGGAGAGCAAAGAATGAATAAATAAAATGCAGTATATCAAAATCAATTATGTGAATGTAACAGCTAAATAAGGTGAACCAGAACTATAGATATTTACAGTAAAACCATTTTAAACGATAAAAGCATTTTATCAAATGATACAACATGTGATGCCATTTTTGCAAAAGAAAAAAAAAAAACCTTTATGTTATTTATAGGTGTATCTCTAGAAGTATGTACTTGTGAATATACTTATATCTGTGCATATACATGCAAAGGAGCCCTGGTGAGGCAATGGTTAAGGCATTTAACTATTAACCAAAAGGTCAGTGGTTCAAACCTGCTTTATGGAATAAAGATGAGGCAGTCTGCTTCTGTAAAAATTTAAAGCCTTGGAAACCCAATGGGGGTCACTATGAGTTGGAATCAACTCAATGGCAGTGAGTTTGGTTTGATATATATGCAGAGAGAGAGATGCTTACACACATACACAAACCACTCAGGACAGCAGCTCCCAAAGTTGGGGTGTTTCTGAGCCTACTAGGCACAAAGAGTGGGAGCTGCTGATTTGAGCTGTTTGTCAAAGAGAGACTTTAGTTTTATTAGTAACATTTACTTTTGTATCTCTTTTAAACTACATTAAATTTTTAACAAAGTACAAGTAAGTGGGATCCAAAATATATAAGCAGCAAAATGTGAATCTGGGGTATTCCTGGGGAAATGGATGACCACGGCCAGCCTGTACTGTTTATCAGCTGGGAGTCCAACTGCATAATCCAAATCTACCCAGGTCCAAGCTGCAGACAAGCCCCATCTTATGTCTACCTGCTCTGGCTTACATACTGACAGGACACTTCTGGGTCTGTGGCTAGCTGGGACTTGCAGTTCAGCAATAATGATTCCAGGATATCTAAAAAGTAGCGCTCAATTTTGTCAGCCAACTCAGATTTTGCCCAGGGGAATTTTAGAAATGCTGGGAACTAGTTCCCAAGAAGGGGCTGGCTTACTACTTTCTACTTGGCCTCACTCTTTCTTCCATTATTCCCCAGTCCCTCACAGAACAAACTGAGCCTGTCCCTATTTGAGAATGTTATTATGGTACATGTTAGTATAGCATTTATATATATATATGTCTGTTACTGTGCTGTGTGCTGTCAAGTCAATTCTAACTCACAGTAGCCTACGGAACAGAACTACCCACCCCACTGGGTTTCCTAGGCTATAATCTATGGGACTAGATTGCCAGGTCTTTCTTCCATAGAGTAGCTGGTGGATTTGAACTGCAGCTAAGTGCCTTACCACTACCAGGGCTACTATTCATGCAATATACATATAACGCACATACATATACAGGTATGTACATGTTTCTTGCTTAACAGATAGAAAATAATTAGAAAAAGATAGGAAACTATTATAGCAAATGTGGAGATAAGAGTTATTGGAAGTGAGCAACCAACAGGGATTAATGAGGAACCATAAATAGGACCAATGTAGCTAGAGAACAGAGCATCCATCCTGCCACTCCTGTCACTGGCTTGGAAGCTCTGGAGTGGCTAGCTTTAGGAGGAAGCATTCCTTGGAATAGAAACACGAGATAAAGGAAATGATCCAGAATATCATAAAGCAATGACACGATAAAATGTATAAAAGAAAAAGTAGAGACATAGAGGACAGATACAGACATTTCAGTATCTAATAGGAATTACATTATTATTATTTTTTAAAGAATAATGGGGTAGAAACACATAAATAATAGTAAAGAACTTTCACAAAATAAACATGAACCTCTAGAGTCCTACAGTATCCACTACAGAGTCCACTGAATCCCAAGGAAGTTAAGAAAATGTGTGCCTAGATATACTGTGATATTTCTCAAGAATAAAAGGGATAGCCAAAGTAAAAACATACAGAAGAATCAACATAATACTATTCTCTGATGAAAATATAATAAATTTCAAAAGTAACTACAAAGATAGGCCCAACATTAATATGTATTTGAAAACTGAAATTGCATATTTGAG